GGCTGATTTGGCCCCTCAAGAACGACTTAGCCTGCAGACGCGAACTGAGGATTTCAAGACTTCATAATTTTCAAATTTATGTAGCCTTGGCCAAATAACTTTAGCATTAGTAGAGTGTAAGGATCCTTTCAACAAATCAAGATGAGCCTAGCCTGTTATATGGAATGCCTTAATAAATATATGTACTTAAACTAAGGTGCGCATGCATCGTTGTCAATATGGTGCCACATTATCGACACCGTATTGCAGGCAGTCGGTCAGTAAAAGAGCCGAAACTTCATCCACATCTGGAATAGTGCTTGCTATTTGAGAGTTTCACCTTTGAAAATGTGTTTTGGAAATAAGGAGTGTCTAATGGTTCCGGAAAAAGTGGAAATGTCAACGATGATTTCGATAAATTTTCGCGAATTCCAGTGTCGTCTTAGACTTCATAACTTCCACATATTCTGAACCTCCGTGAAAAATGCTACTTGAAAATGTATGAATTGAATGTCTTAGTATCACCTAAATATCCCTCATTTTGCTTCTTTCTTAATTACGGGCTGCCCTACCCTTAATTGGGTGCTCCTGCACCCAGATCTCTGCACAGTTGGATTCGCATCTAGAGGCATGTGTTCGCGTCTTAGCTAATTATTAAACAGAAAATTCGAATAAATCCGTTCGAGGCTTTACTTTTGTTTAGAGTGTCCCTGGAAGAATCGTTTGGTCCATTTCACTTCATTTTTCAAACGATTAGCAGAAAATAATGGCCTGAACATTCTGTCATACCTTCAGTATTTCTATACTAAATTATCGTCCGCACAAAATGTTCGATACTTTATTTCTTGGGTGGGCCATGGAACTTCTGTCGGAAGCCAAACGGGATTCAAAAAATTTCAAAATTTTCTGAAGCCTCAAATGCGCGAAATTTCCTTATTTTTGGAAACTTAATATTTGGACAGCTTGGCATCGCGAGATCATGCATTCTTCTTTCATTATCTAGGCCTTCTACTGATGGAGATGGTCAAGAATATCTCCACCCATGTGACAACGCCATGACCTATCGACGATGTCATCCGGATATCAATTGATTAGGAGAATATTGCTCAGTAGTAGCAAAATTTGTAGCGAGTTTGCGATGAAACGCGACCTATCAAATAATAATGTTGTTCAGATAAAAAATAGCGTTGTGTTTGAATTATGAAAAAATTCTCAAATTTTTGAAAAATTTGAAAACAGAGAGTTCCAAACTCAGCCATCTGACCGATTCGATGCAGATTTTGATTCCTTTCTCATTCATTCCAGAAACTTATCCATTAAAATCCATAACTGCAATTTTGAACATTTTTAAACTTTTTCTCGGAAATTCTCATATATGCACAATTTCCAAACTTTCTGAGACTGTTCAATTCGGATAGGTTAGCAACACGAGATCATGCATTATTTCGTTGTCCGATTTTGCTAAAAGAGCACACGCAGCCAGCTGACATAGCCCAAAGGTGCCCATCTACCGAATGTCACCCAGATATTGATTGGTAATTTGGAGAATATAGTGTACATTCTCAACAGTCGCAGAATTTGTCTAAATTGAACTCAGGATGAAATGACATCGTTGAAATAATGTTGCTCAAGTAAAAAAGAATAGCTGTGAATGTTCGAAATATTAAAAAATCAAATGTGATTTCAGAAAATGCAATATAAAAATTCTTTTAATTCGAATGATTTATTCAGTTTCTGAATTCTTCTTCAATCAAGAAAGCCCCATACTGTAGTTCTATCGCTCAGAGCAAAGAGGCACAAGACCCATCAAAATTTCATAATTCAAACACAACGCTATTTTTTATCTGAGCAACATTATTATTTGATAGGTCGCGTTTCATCGCAAACTCGCTACAAATTTTGCTACTACTGAGCAATATTCTCCTAATCAATTGATATCCGGATGACATCGTCGATAGGTCATGGCGTGTGTCACCTGGGTGGAGATATTCTTGACCATCTCCATCAGTAGAAGGCCTAGATAATGAAAGAAGAATGCATGATTTCGCGATGCCAAGCTGTCCAAATATTAAGTTTCCAAAAATAAGGAAATTTCGCGCATTTGAGGCTTCAGAAAATTTTGAAATTTTTTGAATCCCGTTTGGCTTCCGACAGAAGTTCCATGGCCCACCCAAGAAATAAAGTATCGAACATTTTGTGCGGACGATAATTTAGTATAGAAATACTGAAGGTATGACAGAATGTTCAGGCCATTATTTTCTGCTAATCGTTTGAAAAATGAAGTGAAATGGACCAAACGATTCTTCCAGGGACACTCTAAACAAAAGTAAAGCCTCGAACGGATTTATTCGAATTTTCTGTTTAATAATTAGCTAAGACGCGAACACATGCCTCTAGATGCGAATCCAACTGTGCAGAGATCTGGGTGCAGGAGCACCCAATTAAGGGTAGGGCAGCCCGTAATTAAGAAAGAAGCAAAATGAGGGATATTTAGGTGATACTAAGACATTCAATTCATACATTTTCAAGTAGCATTTTTCACGGAGGTTCAGAATATGTGGAAGTTATGAAGTCTAAGACGACACTGGAATTCGCGAAAATTTATCGAAATCATCGTTGACATTTCCACTTTTTCCGGAACCATTAGACACTCCTTATTTCCAAAACACATTTTCAAAGGTGAAACTCTCAAATAGCAAGCACTATTCCAGATGTGGATGAAGTTTCGGCTCTTTTACTGACCGACTGCCTGCAATACGGTGTCGATAATGTGGCACCATATTGACAACGATGCATGCGCACCTTAGTTTAAGTACATATATTTATTAAGGCATTCCATATAACAGGCTAGGCTCATCTTGATTTGTTGAAAGGATCCTTACACTCTACTAATGCTAAAGTTATTTGGCCAAGGCTACATAAATTTGAAAATTATGAAGTCTTGAAATCCTCAGTTCGCGTCTGCAGGCTAAGTCGTTCTTGAGGGGCCAAATCAGCCTGCATCATAGTTGGTGATCCGAAATTATCAATGAAACAACGCAATGCTCATTGCTGTCGATTTCTGATATAAATTTTGCGATTTATTCAAAATTTTCGTAAATTCGACCTAAATTTGATAAAAACATTTCAAAAAATCACTAAATGCTTCGTGCAAAAGCTTTTTTGATTTTTGGGAGCATCTTCTAAGTCAAAATTCTGCCAGCAGTCCAAAAGTTTACTTCTTACTCCATGAAACTTATGTTCAAGCAACTTAATTCAGGGCGACGGTTTTGTCGCGACAAATACGTCGCGATAGATCAAATAAAAGCAATTTTGAAATTTTAACAGTTATTCTGAATCGCTAGTTTCTCAGCAATCCAATGATGCTCTCCTTTTCTTTTGAAAACTAGTTTTAAAAAAGTTATAGCATTGCGACGGTTTTGCGAAGAAAAATATGTCGCGACGGAAAAATTTGTCGCAATCCGTTTTTTCCCATGAGTTAGGAGCTCAATTGTAAGGGCCTTAGCCATATGATGCGCATTTCAAAAATCAAAAAAAATACTTTACTTTTTCAAAGAGCGGGAAAAAAAGAGCACGAGAACGTTATCGAGGAAGAACAGATGTCAGATGTAATGCGCTGAATAGAAAGAAAAAGAAGCCGAGAGAATGAGAAAATCCTCTGACAACTATAACCGAAAAGAAAAACTAAGCCTGAAGACTATAACTCGGGTAAGCTCCTTACAATATATGGTACCCTAATTTCACGCGTACAAGGTAAATTGCTTAAGAGAATCGTACGGCATAGGGATCGCTTTCCGAAATACTTTGGAGCGGCTGAGGGGCTTGATTGAAAAATCAAAAAGGGTGCGCCTTGTACGCGTGAAATTAGGGTACGTAATAACTTGTAAGAGAATTCAAAAAACTATTCTCACTTTAACCTAGTAGTAAAACATCTTTCAAGTCGTGTTAAGCTAAACCTTTTGCAGGAAAAAACTGAAATGTTTGGCAAAGGATTTCAATCAATCTTCATGTGTCTGCCATTTCTTACTTTATCAGTTTGTTGCCCGTCGTTAGAATCTTAGGTCCTCCTGTAAGTATGCTCGTTTCAGAACTATTTCTAGATCAGATTATGGAAATCTCAAAAGGTAATCTGTTTGTAGCAGAGGGTAGCAGAAGCAGAAATATAAAACCTCTATCCTAACCAAGAATAGCTTCCGAAAAACGTTAATCTAGAAAAAAACATTTTCCGGGGAGCCACTCTTACGAAACATGCGACTTTGTATGGATAAGGTTTTCCTTATTAGCAAGGACTATCTCAGAATCTAGGATTTCTTGCTTTGTTCAAATTTGTAAATTTCCTTTGAACTTCGATTTACTAAAAAGTAGTCACAACCTTCTTTCCTTGACAAGTATGGATGTTTTTGCCGCTCATACAGCATTAGCAAATCCCTTTTGGAAATCTCACAAGGAGAGTTTGACCCTTTTGAATCCACTACAGCATCTACGGGTGGACTCTGCTGTGTGAGCGTAGTGAGCTTTGAGCAACATATTCATGTTCATTAGAGTGCAAAACAACTTTATTAGTCAGGGAAATAATCAGGCGCAAGGCTGCCCGTGCAGGACACTTCAGCACGGGTGATCGCTTCGGACATCAACTAATGTAAATGTGATTCCATCTATGTGAAACATAATCGTCCGTGCGATGAACCTAAAATAGAAATAATCGGAGAGAACAGTAGCCGATTAACAACTATGCCAGAGATCCGACGCTGAACCCCAAAACCAGCGAATCGTAAACAACCCGCCCCTTGTTTTGCTATAAAAGCCGCCCGCTAGATGTGAATTTACGCAGCTGCAAGGCGTGTCCGATTCCAGCCTTGGCTCATCTCCAAGTGTAAAAAACCTAGGCCTTTTGATCTTGTACCCAAATACCGATATTACTCACTCTTCCTGCTCTGATTTTTCAAGGCCATTTTATTTTTGCATTTTTATTCATTCACAATGCTTTCAGAACTATCTACAATTAACTACATTCTGCAAAAATGAGTCACGACGTAAGTAAACATATTTTTATTGTAATTTCAAATAGCCATAGTACTTATTTTTCTTCAGGGAGCACTTCATGATATGGGAGCCAAGGCCCAGGAAATGGCTGAGACCGCCAAGGACAAGATTATCGGTGCTGCCCAAACAGTCAAGCACACCGTAAAAAATGCTTATGAAAATGTAATTTTCTTATAATTTTTGAGTTTTGATCAGATTACTAGTTTACATGTAAACTTTAAGGTTGCCCAAGCTGGAAGCGATGCAGCCCATAATGCAAAAGAAAAAACAAAGGAGGGATACAACATTGTGAGTTGGTACCTAGCAAATTCGGCTTAGAGTCTGGATCACCGTAATTTTAGACCGCCGATGCTGGACATGATGCCAAAGAGGCCGTGAAGCAAAAGGCCAATGCTGGATATCAAGGAGTAAGTTCTCAAGAATTGTTGTAAATCCAGCATTTTATTCGTGATGATTTTTAGGCCAAAGAAGGATACCATCAACGAGTTGAAGGTGGCGGGTGTTGCAATGATCATCCAGTAAGTTTACTTCTTAGTGCTTGGAATATAAACGAAAAAACGAAATTTCTCGATTTAGGCCGATGACGCTCGCAACTATGCTGCTAACAAAATGCATGCTGCAGGCGACGCTCTGCAGAGACACTAATTTGGCTTTTGATTTTTCCGCTTGTACATTCCGTGTATAATAATGCCATAGATACAGCATAATATGTGTTTCATAGATTAGCTGCTTGTCATGGATCTCGCAGCCAGCATAATCAAATTTCTATGCTTTCTATTGAATTCAGCGCTGTCAATGATATACTTGAATGAACGTGAACTACTTGTTCAAATTGATGAAATAAAGCTTCCGCAAAGCACGCTGTCTATTCCGATCCACTGGAAAAATAAGAAAATAGAGGGACCGGCAAGCTATAGGTTGATAAAGCCATCCCAACATAATTTTCTTTAGCACACCATCCCTTCCCTGAACAAGATAGGATTTAAACAAAATCAGTTGTGGTTAGTCTTTCCTAGAAAAATTTTTACCAAATCTTTTGTTTTTTTGGGAGTGACAAAGGAAAAAGTGCACAGAAAGTCAACTATCATTGTTGTATTTATCATCAACAGCGATGAAAAAGATGTTGTATTGGATTGTAATTCTTGCACCAAAATCAATTTCGTAACCTCAAACCTTAAAGCCCTTGATTCAACATATATAAGAGGGAGATTATGTCTTCCATATTTGTTTGATTCCGAACTCTTTGCTGGCATGTGGCAACGATACAAGCTGATTAAGAGAAACGCTTTTAGCAATTGTATAAATTTTGATCTCATGAATCCCATAGCCTCAACTGAAATCTAGAGTTGTTTTGGTCTTGGTCTAGATTTCAGTTGAGGCTATGGGATTCATGAGATCAAAATTTATGCAATTGTTAAAAGGTTTATGTACCACCCTTTATAACCAAGTCAAGTGTGTGGTGGATCGGATGTTACAGTTATATGTATTTTCGAATTTTTCTCGACTTCATTTTTGTATTAGATTACTCTTCAGAATGTGACATGAAATACTGACATAAACTAGCGAATTGTATGATTTCATTGATTCTTTTGAGTATTTTTGATGAAAATTTCTTACAATCAAGTAGATGTACTAGAGGGCAGAAAGGGGAATGAAAAGTATAACATCAGACAGATATGCGAAAAAATGGGACTGGACATGCTGCACGATTCGTCCAATGTCAATTGATTATGATCATTAGCTTGGAAACTGCCTTCTTAACCCAATGTTTTGTTAACATTCCGGTATGGTCTGAAGCTGGTATAAGAATATGGCCGTTTTCATACTTCATTGTGTAGCCGCTGCTCAAGATCTCTCTTGCACAATTTGATATCATGTCACTGAATTTTTGTCCGTTTTTTAGCCGATTAAACCCCGGTAGGATAACTACTGCGAAGCCTTTCAACATGGATGTGATGCAGCTCTTTTTCCTCTCTTCGTTGGGTTTCAAAACATTCTCTTCTTGACCCGTACAGAAAACCTAAATCTCATAAATAACAATCGACCTCGAAATTTTGCTAGTTGTCAACATTGAGTCAGGTGAAGAAAATCATCGACTATCTGCTGCTTAAGTTATTCCTTTCTGCTGTTTGGAGTCTTAAGAACCATTCTTTTCGAAAGATTTTGAGCAACAAAAACATTAATGCGCAGTTTTGATAATTTAGAGCTTAATTCTTGATTGTTGTCATTATTCCATATTAACTGCAGAATATTTGATTATTCGATGTAAAAAATAGGTTTTTGGAATTTTCGGTACTCCCATGCAACATGCGTTCAAAAAAGGTGGATAACATGAATAATTTGAAAATGTCAAGAAATTGTTCCAAATAATCTAAAGTAAGCAAGATGCAGACGATATCCATGTTCATCAGAGCTTTTTCAAAATGTTAGCATAAGACTTTATGAAAATCATAAGATTTCGGAAGTTTCTGTATATTGTATTAGGTTGTCAAGAAAATAATGTCGTTTTTTATAGCAGAGCCCTAAGACAAACCCAAAAAATATGTGAGGGCTACTATTCGATAGAGCAAAGGAAGCTCTATAAGTCGACCTCCGAACTTTGGCAGAAGCTGTTGTTTATGCAAAGTTCAAAGCTAAAACACATGAGCAACTCGTGGTGCCAAAAACTGGATTTTCGCCCTGTAAAATTCTGCGAGCCTCTCACTTGCTCCTGCATGTAAAAGACATATCCACTTATCCATAGGTACACTTGGTATATTTTTTCCATGCTTAGAAACCAAGAAAAAATTGAAAAAAAAATTGGCAAACTCCGCCCCCAGTAGTACTGAGCCCCTCCCACATATGCCATTGTACACTGTAAAGCTTCATAACCTTAACTGTAAAATTTTGGCCTCGGATATGTTCTAAATCTTGGCTAATATCGATTTTACCCAAAAAAACCCGAAAAAACGACATTATTTTCTTGACAACCTAATAACAACCAAAGAAAAAGAAACCATCGCAAATCTGCGCGCTTCATAAGGAAATGAAAGAGGAAAGTAACTGAACAAATGAGATCTGAGTCGCTCGTCGGTCTGCGTTCTACTGGCTTTGATGACCAACAAAAATAGGGACATAACTGTCCAGACGACCTAATATAACGCTGCTTTGTTCCTTCTACTGACATCGTATAGAAATTATGTACCTCTCACCTGAGTGATGGAAGCAGTTTACAATCTCCATCTCGGACCTGGTCACGCGCAAGTGAAGTTCACAAACGATAAGAATGAAGGATTCGGAGAGCGTCGCCTCATACCATTACTCCACGCTTCCCTCGTCCGTATGTGATGAAGTAGAAAGCTAGGGAACCTAGTTTTGCGCCCAAAATTCACCGACTTATCGATGTGTTCGGAGAGAAATTGCCGTCGCCAATCGAAAAATGAGATTTGTAATAAAAGCTTCAGAAGGTGTGCCTTAAGAAAGCAAGCTAACAAGGGAATGGTCAGAAGTCGAAGTGGCTAACCCATACAAGCTGCATACCATTGAATGCAGTATAAAATGCTGACTCTAAATCTGTCTTCCTTATCTGCAGAGCGCTTTTGTGGACGAAATTATAAGCCGTTGAAGGCCATTATTTTGCTAAGAAATTGTGCATGTAAAATGCAAACTTGGCCGTACAAAGCCATTCTCGGCTCAGTGTTGGACCAGAACATGCAACTAGGTCAGTTTATATGACCCGTACCTAGATGTGAGCTGAAACAGCAATAATGTGCCTAATTTCGCAATTTTTGTGTACGGTTTTTTTGCAGTAAAGCTGTTCATAACATCGCCTACAAAGGCGCTCTGCAGATGCGGAAGGCAGATTTGAAATCAGCGTTCTATGCTGCATCGAATGGCATGTAGCTTGTTTGGATTGGCCACTTCGACTTCTGACCATTCCCTTGTAAGCTGTTTCATTATTTTTGCATCACTTGTTGCATTTCACTATCAGCATGTTTGAGGTTCGAGGGTATATATTGATAAAGAAGTACTTTCTCCATAATAGTAGAGAAATTGCCATCGCCTTCATTCAGTGAATAATCGTGTAAAAACAGTAAGAGAGATAAAGTGATTCTGTCACCAAAGTCTTTCTTTTGCGAGCAACCACTGCTTTAGTCTTCGATGTCTGCACGGACAGTGTTCGTAACTTACTGTGTGTTACATTGTTAATTTTTTTTACGTTGGAGCATTTTTCTGGGAGAAGGTCAAGAGGCGCGATTTTTTCAGAGGTCACCATTTTAACAGTCCAGTTTAGAGCTATGCGATTCTTTCAATAAAACCAGACAAAGTGCTGTAGCTCAAACCATCTGAAGCTACCACCTGCCAAGTTTGACGGCTTCTGGTGAAATCCTGATTGAAATATTTACAAAAACGCCATTACTCTTTGACCTCCAACACTTATGTTTTGAATCTATTTCAAAATTATAAGATCGAGCACATGGGACGACCATATATATTTTGTTAGAAATTTGAATACTTCCTAGAACATTATAAAATGCGCTATAGTGTTCATCCAGCAATAAAGATCGCGCCTCTTGACACACACCCCATTTTTCTGAGGAGTGTTCTCTTCTTATAAAATCATATCAATGTGCAACTTCACCCTCGTTATACTGATGGGAAACGGGACGTAGAAAAATGCCTACAACAAGAAAGTCTGGAACCTAAGAAATGCAAAACTTGCAAATGGTACAAATTTCGTCCAGTACTAAAACAGCACTCATGAAGTTGAAAATTTGGCATTGTCTTCTACATTTGCATTTGAGGTTGAGAGCAAATCATCTATTCACTTGTTGATTTACTCTGAGTGGATAAAGTGATAAAAGCAAGTATTGAGAGCTGAGAAGTTTCTTCGTGTAGTTTTGTGAGGGACTTTGCTTAAGGCTTATTTTTCTCACTCCTTCATGCCTCGGCAGAAAGGAATGGGAGTCTGGCAGCTTCCCCAAGTTTTCGTAAATAGGAGGGCTTCCTGTCCCTGTTTCGCTGAAGCGAACTGCATACTCATTTTATTATCTCCATTATCGTTTCTGCGTCCTCGTGATTGAATGAAAGATTGAAAACTCATGGTAGTAATTTGATTGTATTGTGCCTTGACATTATCGTTTCACTGACTAGCTCAACCTCGAGTGAAGTCAGTCGCTCATCCACAAAGCAAGGAGGATGAACTAGCACTCATTTGAGTGAACATGCAAGAGATTCTACAAACACAAAGAGTGATGTCTCTTTTCTCCGTGTTGACTTACAGTTATCAAATGTCTGGCGGTGAAACTTCTTTTTGTTAGGAGGTTAACAAAAAGAAGAATGGTTAACAAAGTAGATTGTTTTATCATACTAAGAAGAATGGTTAACAAAGTAGATTGTTTTATCATACTCCCCATGTCTTTGTTGAGTGATGTGCTGCAGGATAAAGTTCGTCATCACTCATTAGACGAAGGACGATTTTGAATTTGAGTTTAAGGGGATCGGTCCTTTTGCGGTAGAGCACATCATTCTAAAGCAAATTAAAGTAATGGCTGAGGTTCTCTACCGCTGGGTGCCTGCTATCATAAGAACGACTATGCCAGTGATGCGCGTCATCACTTAATTAGCACACTGTTTTATAAAGATCCAGGATTATTTAAGTGTGA